CCATTTTTTGGTTGCAGCCATCATTGTTGTTTGGCGGGCCCGGGCTGGGGATTCGAACCCGCCACCTTAGGTGTATGTGGCTGGCGCCTTAGCCAGTTGAGCCACAGGCACCAAGCCTAGGTTGAGGTTTCTGAGAAGGTGGCGGCAGCTAGAACCCAGAGGGGCAGAATGGTCCCCGCAGCCCTTAACCCCTAGGCAGTGCAGCTGTGTGTGCACAGAAGCAAAAGTGCAATCCACAGGGCCAGGGACTGTGCACCAGTCTAGTGATGAGGGCAATCCCCACCTTGCTAGGGTGAAGAGGGAGTATAGGTAGCAAAGGGAGCTGTGGGGACAGCAGGCAGGGGCAGGTAAGTGGGGCCCAAGCAAGGGCTGGCCCCGGCACCTCCTTGCATAGCATTGGGAATACTCACGGGAAAAATACTAGGGCAAAAGAAAAAGCTCAACTGTAATAAAGGAGTTTGCAGTGGCAGGTAGCCCCTAGTCCCAGCGTAGCCTCCCCTCCCCTGTGGGGGCCAGGTCTGTGGCCTTGAGCCTAAGTGTGCAGGGCTGGGCCAGCCCATTCCATCTGTTGCCCATGTTTCCACCAGGACATTATTTGGTTTTCATTTTATTTATAGCATTTGTAAAGATGTTAAAAAAACTTATGTTTTTGTGTAGTCTAACCTATTGACGATTTTAATTTCTGAATTCTTCCATTGTTAACCTATGGTGTCTTTTCTAGAATTTGGGCAAATTTTTATTTTCTTACTTTCTTACTAAAAATATATATATCCCATTTACTATTCCACTATCTGCTAGAATAAAGTTTTCCACAGTGTGCCTAAGTTCTTAGCACATGTTCCCCCAGCACAGCTTTTAGGGTATGCTGGACCCAAAGCTGGTGTCTGAGTTATATCAGCTGGTGGACAAGGTCTGTCCAAACAAAGCCAAATTTCAGGGCCTCCTTGTCCATTGGTCACAGAGGAAAAAGGTGTTAGAATAGAGGAGTGGTTCTCAACCTTCCTAATGCTGTGGCCCTTTAATATAGTTCCTGTGGGTTGCGACCCTCAGGCTGAGAACTGCTGGAGTAAAGGTTCCCTTTCCTCAGTTTCTTTGTGTGCCCACATGTCCTGCCTTGTGCAAGGGCAGGGAAGAGGGAGGTGAGTGAGGGACCAGGAGCTATGAGACGGTACAGCAGGTATAGCAATCATGTTTGCACCTGCCTGTCCTGACTTTAAGCACTAGCTGGGTAATGTTGAGGCTGAGGTTCTTTCCCAGTGTCCTGACATCAATGGCAGGTTAGCCAGGGAAAAGGGAGAAAGAACAGGGCAGACCCACAGTGGTGCTATAAGGAGGAGAAAGGAGGTGCAGGGAATGAGGTTCTTGGGCAGAAGAAACCCACTGTGTGTGAGATAAGGAGTAGAACTTGGAATTGTGAGCACTTAGAAAAACATTTCCAAAAGGATGACAACCTCCTTCCCTGAAAATCATTAAATACCTTCACAAAAGTGGGTGAAAAACGGTTTCTTAGCCTTGGTTGCACATTGGAATCTCCTGGGCGGCTTTTAGATGGCCTGAGGCCTAAGTTACCCTTATGCTGGCTTAATGATCAGACTCTCTGGGGTTGGGAACCAGGATCTACTTTTATTTATTTCAGTTCAACAGGCATTTATTTTGCAGTTTCAATATGAAAGGTAGAGTTTGGGTACAGTTTCAGGAGATTGACATAGAAAAGACCTTCACACTTGCTGTCAGCAGGCTCCCCTGTCTGGTAATCTGTTGCTGCCAGTGGGGAATGGGTTATTATCTACTCGTATTCTTCCCACTACCTGAAATACTGACTTTAGTTAGTAAAGACCCAAGGTGCTCTTTAGGTTTGCTAACATATCCTTTTCTTTTTTTTTTTT